CGGCGGGAGCGCCGCCGCGCTCCCAAGCGGCGCACTGTAGCAGTGCACCACCGGGCCAGCCCTACATTTATTATTATTTTTAGCAACATACAAAGCCAATGACTGATAAAAATGTTGTTGTAGGCATTTAATAAAAAGATAAAAAAATAATAGTTTATACTTACTGAGCTCTTGCTGTGAGGGAACTGGTATAAGTTCTATGTAACAACGAATTAAATCCATTTAACCACTTCAGTCAGGGACCACAGTAATCCCAATTTACAGATAAGAGGTAATACAGAGAAATTCTAAGTACTTTGGCCAAGGTTACATAGAAGGCAGGATTTTGAAAATTATATGTATACAAAACATACTGAACAGTCAAGTAAATCATTCTCCAACAAATTTTTTCCCAGACAGTATACTTTTAATGCCAAATTAGTAGGGAATGTCATTAATGACATTTACTCTATGTGCTCATTGAGAAGTTCTACAGGTTGGATCAGATGAAATTGCTGTTTATTACTACTTTTGAAGTGAAAAATGACTGAATATCAGCAATTTCCTTTAGTTCAACTTGACAGTTTCTTAGTTTAAATGTTATCCAGTGCTAAAACCCAAAGGCAACATGCCTCTCAGAAGTGGAAGCCATACGTACTGAGAAGCGAGGCGAGGCCGGCGCAGGGCTATGCTCTGGCTGTTCTTCCATGACCTATTCTTCTGGCGGTTTCGTACCCCATCATCCTGGTCCATCATCTGTTCCAGGAGTGTCTGATCATCTGCGTTTAGGGGGGCCACAGAGATGTCTCGCACAGCACGGAATTCACCACAGTTATTCAGATGTTCATTCTCCAGGCGGAAGAAGTTCCACACAAATCGCCTTAGCAAAATGAGGTAGAGCAAACAAATTACTTATAAAATCTGAACAAACTACTACTACCACTACCTGTAAACCTCAAAGAATATTAAGTTTCCACACATGGAAACAAAAACAAGGAGTTAAGGGCTAGAATATTAAAATAAAATAGGGAAAGATGCATGGAGATAGGGGAAAGGGAAGCAAGAATAGATTATGCAAAAGGAAGCGACTCAATACCTCATGTTCTCACTTATTTTGTGGGAGCTAAAAATAAATAAATAAATAAACACACAAACAAATGGGGGGGGAGGGGAAGAAGACAGAATAACCACAAAAATTCCTTGAACTATTTAAGTCAAGTGAACAGATACGATGTTGTGGGGGGAGGAACGAGTAAAGGGGCATGAAAATCAAGTACACTGTATTTTGAGAAGTAAAAAAAAGAAAAGAAATGCAGTTTTAGAGTACACATCCTTTCACTTTATTTGACAAACATTTACTGCATGCCTACTATAAGGCAGAAAAAGGCAATGAATAAGACAGACAAAGTCTTTGCCCTTATGGGGTATAATTTCTAGTGGTGGAGAAAGATAATAAGCATGTAAACAACTAATCAGCTAATAAGTACTCTGAAGAAAATCAAGCAGGGCAATGGGATAAAATGTGCTGTTGTAAGACGTATGGAAAGCTTCTCTAAAGACATGGCATCTAGAAAAACCTGAACGATGCAAGAAAGCAAGTCGTGTAAAAATCCTGGAGAAAAGTGTCACAGGAAGAAGAAATAGCAAGTATAAAAAACTCCAAGTTGGAAAGGTCTTTGGTATACTAACATAACAGCAAGAAGGTCAGTGGGACTGCAGTGGAATAAGTGACGTTAATATGGCAGGAAATAAAGATGAAGATGTAGAAGAAGGCGCATTTACAAAGGGCCTTAAAACCATAGTAAAGAGTTTAGATTTAAGGTGTGATGTAAAACAATGAGAGTTCTGAGGAGAATGAAGGGATTTGTTTTACGAAGATCATTCTATATGCTGTATGATGAAATGATGAATAGATCAAAGAGAGACGAGAACACTGAAGAAAGACCAATTAGAAGGCTGTCGAAATAGTCTATTAAAGAGATGATGGTGACTTAGACAAAAATGGTAATAGAGGTGATGAGAAGCAGACAGACTATAGATTAATTTATAAGGATGGAGCTGACAAGACACTGACAGGGGATGTGAGTGGTGTTAGGGTTTTTGGCCTGCGTGAATGGTGGCACCATTTACTAAGACTGGAGGAGCAGGGCTGTTTCTGTTAGGCTAGAGCTATCCATTAGATATCCAAGTGGAGAATTTGATAGATAGATGAACATGAGGGAGAGTTTAGCATAAGGACAGTATTTCAAATAGGGGGCTTAGGAATAACAGAACTGGAGGAGAGGACAGAGGATTAAACCCCGGAACACTCCAACACTTACAATTTGGGAAGAGGAAGAAGAACCAGTAAAGGAGTTGAGAAGGAATAGCTAGTGAAACAGGAAAATGTGATTTCTGAGAAGTCAAGTGAAGGAAGTGTTTTGCTATGAAGTAAGATAAATCCAGAGAACTGACTACAGGATTGAGCAGAATAGCAAGGTATGATTTAAGAGCATAGACTCTGGGAGACTGTCTAGATTCAATTCATGGTTCTACCACTTACTAGCTGTAATGACTTTGGATGAGTTACTTAACCTATGCTTCAGCGTCATCAGTAAAATGAAATAATAACAATATCTACCTCATAAGACTGTTGTGATGATTCAGTAAGTTAATAAATTTAAGGGGTTCAGAACAGTGCTAGATACATAGTAGTCACTACATAGTGGTCACTATTATTATTATTACTGTACATTATTAACAAAAGTGATTTAGTTTGAGTATTGGGAACAAATACTTGAATGGAATTAAAGAGAGTGGGAAAGTGAGAGTGGAGACAGCAAGTGCAGACATCTCTTGAATTTTGCTGTAAAGGAGACCATAAAGATGGGCAATAGTTGGAGGGGGTAGTAAATTCAAAGGTTTTTGTTTTTATTTTAAATGGGTGATAGAACATTTGATTATGTTATTAAGCAAATTTTTTTAAAAAAGAAAGTAATCAAGAATAAAAAAGTAATTGAGATATTTTTTATATATGTACATATATATATATATTTAATTATGAAGTAGCACACCTGAAAGACAAAGAAGTGGGTGGGGAGAGATGGTAGTAGTGATGGAGTTCAAGTCCCAGATCTAGACATTGGGGAAAGTGAAGAAGGGAAAGAGGGTTAGCAAATAGTCTAGAGAAAGCACTAACTCCAGTGAGTATACTTTCCAGAGTCATTCTTTACTTTTCAGGTTTGTCTTTATGTTTCCAGCTTCTACCCTATTTTATCAGACTGTTTGACCATTTTGACTCAGAGGAATGCTATCTACTCACCCGAAAATATCTTTTTTTTCTTTTAAAAACATTTCATTTGTTTTAATTGACAGAATATAACTGTGTATGTTTATGAGTTACAATGTGATGTTTCAACACGTGCACACTGTGAAATTAATATATTCATTACCTCACATACTTACCATTTTTTTGTGGTGTGAACATTTAAAATCAACTCTAACAACTTTGAAATATATAATACATTACTATTAACTATATTCCCCATGCTGTGCGATAGATCACAGGAACTTATTCCTCCTGCTGAACTGAAACTTTCTATCATTTGATCAAAATGTCCCCATTTACTTTTGATTCCCCTCCTATCTCTCAGGTTCTGGTAACCTCAATTCTACTCTATGTTACATTTTTATTAGTTTGACTTTTTTATCATCTCATTTGTACAAGATATTTTCACTGGGTAAAGAGTTCTAGGTAGGAGTTATTTTCTTGCAGCACACTGAAGATGTCATTTTAATGATTTCTAACTTTCATTGCTGCTGTTGAGAAGTCAGCTGTCAGTCTAACTCATCCTTCTTTGAGGGTAATCCTTTCTTCTGTCTGGCTGCCTTTTTTTAAGTAAGTATTTTAATTGAAGTATAACATACATATACAAAAGTATGCAAATCGTAAGTGTATGGCTTGATTAATTATCATAAAGTGGTCACATCTGTAATTACCATCCAGAAATATATAATATATTACCATCCACTGAAAGCCACATTTAGGGTCCCCTCCTATGTTAACTTTTAGATAACTTATGGTTTACCCTTTCATATTTAGCTCTGCAATCCATCTGGAAATGATTCTGCATACAGTATACAGTAAGAGTTGGGACTCATTTTTTTTTTCTCATATGGATATCCAGTTGACTCAATACCACTTATTAAAGGGTCTTTCTCCACATTATGTAGCCACCTTTGTCATAAATCAGATAGTGTCAATGGATTGTGTCAATCTGTTTCTGGACTCCCTATTCTGTTCCAGTGGTCTATTTGTCTATCCTTTCACCAATGCTGTACACTGTCTTAATCACTGTAGCTATATATCTATATAATCCGTCTTGATATTTGAGAGTATAAGTCTTTTAACTTTGTTCTTTTGATCCTATTCAAAATGGTATGGTTTAAAAATTTTTCTTTTTCTAATAATTTTAACTATTTTTAAAATAACTGATTTATATTTATATCAACTTTGTATTTAGGGACGCTGTGATATTTGATATAATAATTTATTTGTGAATTATTTTGACTATTCTGCATATGCAATTGTCCTCAGTGAATAGTTATAGTTTTGTTTTTCCCATCCAATCCTTACACTTTTTTCCCTCATTGCACTAGCTTGCAATACAATGTTAAATAGAAGCTATAAAAGGAGACATACCTGTCTCATTCCTGATCTTAGGAAAAAGCTTATAGTGTTTTACTGTTAAAATATGATCTTGGGGCCGGCCCGGTGGCGCACTGCTACAGTGCGCCGCTTGGGAGCATGGCGGCGCTCCCGCCGAGGGTTCGGATCCCACATACAGACCAGTTCCCGCTCACTGGCTGAGCGAGGGGCGGGCACAGCACCGAGGGTTGTGGTCCGTTGCCGGACACGAAAAAAGACAAAAAAAAGGAAAAAAAATTTAAAAAATATGATCTTGATTTTATTTTTTGTAGAAAATCTTTATTTTTTTCTGGAACAGTATTAAGTTTTATCAATGGCCTTTTCCACATATATTGAAATTCTCTCCCAACCCCTGCTTATTCTGTTAATGTGGTGAGTTGCACAGATTTATTTCTGAATGTTCTTTTCCTAGAATGAACTAACTTGTCATGTATCATCCTTTTTATGTGTTGTTGGAGACTGATTATCTAATATTTTGTTCAGAATTTGTGCAACTCTTATACATGTGACAGATTGGTCTCTCTTGGAATGTCCTTGTAGGTTTAGACATTTAAAGTCATGTTGCCTGCTTAAAACAAACTGGGAAGTGTTCCCTTTTCTGCCCTTTTTCTCTGAAAGAATTTTGTGTAAAATTGGTAATATTTCTTCCTCAAACATTTGCAAGAATTCCCTAGGTTTGGAGTTTTCTTTGTGGGAAGTATTTTAATATGAATTTAATTTCTTTAGTAGATATTAGTCTACCAGATTTTCTCTTTCTTTTTTATTGGTTTTGGTAAACTGCTTTTTGAGAAATTTATCCATTTCATCTAAATTTTTAAAATTTATTGGCATAAAGGTGTTTATAATAATGTCTTACTCTTTAAAAAAATATCTTTAGGATTTTTGATATTCATACTTTGTGCCTTCTTTCCTTTCCCACTTAAACAGTCTTACTCAAGAATTTTATCAAAAGTCTTAGTCTTTTTAAAGAACTAACTTTGGCTCTGTTAATTTTCTCTATTGTATATTTGCTTTCTATTCTATTAAATTCTATTCTTCATGTTTCCTTCCTTCTATCTTCTTTTGGGCTTAATTTTCTGTTTTTAAAATTTTTCTAATTTCTTGAGCTATATTATTAGATTATACATTTCCCTCTAAGCATGGCTTTAGCTGCATTCTACATTTTCTTTTATCATATTTTCAATTTCATTCTGTTCTAAATATTTTAAAATTTAGAGTTTAGACTTTTTAAAATTTCAATTTTGATCCAGGGGTTACTGGATATGTACTGATTAATTTCTACACATTTGAGAATTTAGTTACCTTTTTGTGATTTTACTCCTCTGAAATTTGTTGAGACTTCCTTTATGACCTAGTATATGGCTAATATTGGTAAATATTCTATATGCATTTTTTAAAAATGTGTATTTAGTAGTTGTTGGATGCAGTGCTCTACACAAGTCAATTAGGTCAGGTTGGTTAACTATTACTAAAGGAAATATGTTAAAATCTTCCACTAAAGTTATAAATTCTTCTACTTTTTAGCAATGCCCACTTTTCTTTACATATTTTCAAGGTATGGTATTAGATGCATACAAATTTGAATTGGCAATTATATCTGAATCTCAAAGTCTCCAGGTTTGGCAAATTTCTGTAGTCCAAAAGTGACTTTAGTGCTATGTTCATCTCAGGGTTCCTGCTTTCACTTACATTTTGGGCTATTTTGCCAGATCACTGATACTTTTAGAAAAATTTACAAATCATTTGATGTAGCATTTTTTATAGTTTTCAGTGAGAAGATTGAGTTGATTAACCTAGACTACCAGATTGCAAAAAATAATTCTCAAAAAATTTTAATTTCTGTTCTAAGACTTTTTACCTCCCAATTTCCACTTACCACCCTTCCATTAGTGACCAATTCCCCTTGAAAACCTATAAGTCATCATCAAGTTATTTTAACTTCATAAGAATTAACCTCTAAGTCCTTCAAGTAGGAGATTACAACTTTAAGGCTAAAGAGAAGTTAGAGAAAAAATGAAAAATCTAAGCTTTTAAAATATAAGTTATAATAAATTCTAATTTATACGCATTGTGCTTCTTTTAGATAAAAAATCTTTGATAAACTTTTCGGTAGTTTACTTACCGGAAAACTTCAAGGGGAGCAAACACAGTAGCAATGATGTCACCAGCATGAGGCAACACAGTTGTAGAGGTAATTGAGATTTGGATAGTCCAAGCAAAGCGTAGTATCACATCCTCTATGATGGCACAGTAGTAGTAAGCCTGAGGGATAAGGAATAATAAGCAAATTGAGTATGGTTCCCATCATATTTCTCATAAATAAGCACATCTATCAGCAACAAGACTCACATATGTCTCACCACTAAGCACAGGTTCAAGAGGAAAAAAGAGTTTTATTTTATTTTGCAGAAAAGTACACATCATATTTTAGGAAGATTTCCACCAATTTAGTTTTTCTTAAGTGGTGTGATATTCAAAATGAAGTATTACTGAATTTTAGTAATCATTTAACAAATATATTTCATTCCCATATTGTAGGCTATCTTCTAGGCCCCAGAAATACAAGCCAGATGAGATCTTTAATTGATTGAGATTACATTCTAACAGGTACATAATATGCTAATAACTTCACAGCTAATATTAGACAAGATGAGCAGATTTATTAACTGTTATTTGCAGTTCTTCTCGAATTGCCTTACCTTGCATTTGAAGAAAGTTTTGCCTTGCTTTGTGATGTTGATAAATGAAATTAAACTTGGATTTCACAAACATGGTTGAATTTCATATTTTTACATGGAGAAGACAGTGCTCAACTAATACTTCACGGTGCTAGTACCCAAGATTTTGGAATCCAGTTCTAGCTACACAAAAGCCTTAAGTACATGAATGGCTAACAGACCAGAACTATAATTCATGGATTTGTTCATTATTAATCTCTAGGAAATGAACTCTTTAAATATGTATTTAAAGGCTATGACATCTTTTGGAAACTAGAATTGCTTTGTATTAAGCCATGACATTCATTTTATTAAAAAACAAAACAAACAATGTAATACTAGTCATTGATACAAGGCTATTAACAAAAAACAGCAGTTATGGGAGCTGATGTCACCAAAAATGTGGAAGTCTTTTGGCGGAAATAAGCTTGACTTAAGATCAAAAGACAGAGAAAAGTTAACTCTGAATATGGAGATAACAAAAAATGGTTCCTGGACCTGAGGTGTGATGCTCAATATTATGTATTGTTAATCACTAGGAACTGATTTTAAGGTTTATATAGCTCTGTTCTTAATTTTTAATGAAATTCCACTGGAGTCCACAAGTGGCTTCTTCACTTTTCAAGCTGGATGAACTTTATTCCAATATTTACCTTTTTAAACTTGAAAGGGATATGGTGATCCAGCAGAACATTTTTCTTAACAAATATGCAAATTATAATGTAGGAAAATATATTTCTAGGGACATGAAAATATATGATAACAAAGAAACGGAAAGATTTTATTCACTAATTTTATTACATAGACATCAATAAATTAGAAATATTTAAAAGGGGGTCTGGATTAACATTTAAGTATACAAACAGTCCATCTAAGCAACCATCATAATAAGAAACAAATATATTATAGCTCTCAGTAAGACAAGAATAATATAAGCAGCAATAGAGTATACACAGTGAGCACAGAAGGGCCATCTTTCCCTGAGTTCATGTCTATTCTGATTATTCATTTTCTTTTCAAATGAGATTTATAAAAATGTGCCTAATGTCTTGGTCATGCATTCTAAATTTTCACACGGGAATTATTGCTGTAGTTTAGGTAAAAAAGATCACTGTCAATGAATGTCCCCCTTTTTCTTTTGTTTGCTCATCTGAAGTCACCCTATATATCATTCTTGGTATTCTCTCTCCTATCATTTATCTTCAATCCACACACTTGAAAACAGCCATTCCCTTCTCACCAACATTCATACACATTTCAAAATACAATTTCGAAGTACTGATGACATTTTGATACAGCATAAAATATTCATGACCCAATCTATATTTTCCTTCCCATCCTATCACAGAATTTTAGAACTGGGAAAAGATCAAGAGATAATCTACTAACATCCTTATCTTATAGAAGAGAATCCACTGTAGTCTGGTTGCCTAGAGTTATATAGCTAGTTAGTGAGAGAGCTGGGATTAGAATTCACATATCAGGATTCCCAGTTCATTGTTTATTTTCTGTCCAGGTCTAATCATGGTATTTATCCTTTACTAAAACATCTGAGTAAAGATTTTTTTGGTCTTTTGGCTTTTCAATTCAGACTCTCTTGTCCTTTTCTTTATACACAGATAAAATCCAAAGATAATTCCTAAGGAATTGTCTATATCTTCTGATTGAATTGGCACTTGATAATAACAAATACTAGTTGAAATAAATGAAAGGAGAAGCCTTCTTGATTCATCCAAGCAGAGTAAGGCACTCTATTCCTTTGTGCTTTCATAACACTGCTCGTTCAGTCAAGTATTTATTCATTCATTCCATAAACATTAAGTCTACTATATACCACGAACTGTTAGGCAGTGAGGGATATGTACACCTAAACAGACAATTATAATACAATGTGGTAATTGCTGTAATGGAAATTTACATAGGATAAAGAATTAGGGAGAATGGCTAAAAACACACTGGGAAAATTTAAAAAGACTTCTTACAGAAAATAACACAAACTGACTTTTTTTTTTTCCTTTTTGTCTTTTTTACTGACCGGTAATGGGATCGCAACCCTCGGTGTCGCGCCCGTAACCGGGGACCGGCAACGGGATCGCAACCCTCGGTGATGCGCCCGCACCGCGCTCAGCCAGTGAGCGGGAACCGGTCTCCACATGGGATCTGAACCCTCGGCGGGAGCGCCGCCACGCTCCCAAGCGGCGCACTCTCCAGTGCGCCACCAGGCCGGCCCACAAACTGACTTTTAAGAAGGAGGAACAGGGGCTGGCTGGCTAGTTCAGTTGGTTAGAACATGGTGTGTTGCAACCCCAAAGTCAAGGGTTTGGATCCTTGCAGGAGCCAGCTGCCTTCTCTCAAAAAAGGAGAAACAGGAGTTTACAAAGCAGACAAAGGCAAGAAAGGGTGCTCAGATGGAGGGAATTCCATGATCAAAAATCTCAGCCAGTGAGCGGGAACTGGTCTCCACATGGGATCTGAACCCTCGGCGGGAGCGCCGCCACGCTCCCAAGCGGCGCACTCTCCAGTGCGCCACCAGGCCGGCCCACAAACTGACTTTTAAGAAGGAGGAACAGGGGCTGGCTGGCTAGTTCAGTTGGTTAGAACATGGTGTGTTGCAACCCCAAAGTCAAGGGTTTGGATCCTTGCAGGAGCCAGCTGCCTTCTCTCAAAAAAGGAGAAACAGGAGTTTACAAAGCAGACAAAGGCAAGAAAGGGTGCTCAGATGGAGGGAATTCCATGATCAAAAATAAATAAATTTAATTAACTTATTTTAAAAAATTAATTTATTCTTCTATTCTAGTCTTTATCACACTGTAGTGCAATGTTTACTTATCTGTTTAGAATATAGTTTACAGCTTCCCTTGAGAACCAGAAATTCATTTTGGTTTTTTTTTTGCAGCTGGCCTGTACAGGGATCAAGCCTTGTTGTTTTCAGCACCATGCTCTAATCAACTGAGCTAACCTGCCGGCCTACTTTGTTTTTATTTCCTAGAGTGCCTAGCATATAGTAAACCCCTGATACATTTTTGCTGACTAAATGAGTAATTTTAATTTTTAATTTAATTTTTGGTAATTATTTTTTCTAATTAGATTAATATAATTAGGGATTGGGTCTGTATTGCAATAGGATTTAGCTAATGGTACACTTAAGGTTTTTTAAAACAAAACATGAACACTCTTTGTACATACTTTTTGTGGGTATACAATCTCTTCCCGGAGGAAAGTGTTTTCTCCAGCATTCTTATCAAAGAGACCCCAGTCCATTTTCAGATCCCAGATAAGGGTATAGCAGGAACTGATGATACAAAAGATGATCCACAAGTAAAAGAACACCACGGTGTCTGAGTGACCTCGTTCTGAAGAAAGAAAAGGGAAAGGGAAAGAAAAAAGAAAATTACTAGACTTAAGTAAAGTTCTTCATTAAATAAAACTAATTAAGAAACAGATTCTTTATGGAGTTCTGTAAAGAATATAAAACTTGAAACAAATCTCCGTAGTAGGATCATTGTCTAACAAAGGTTAAATAATAAATATTATTTCCCTGATGTCCAAAGTAATCAAATATTTATTGAATACATAATATCTATACAGATCTGCATTTGGAATTTTGGAGGCTCCACGCTGAATAAATAAAAATCCAAATAATTGAGATGGAGGTTTTGAATGTTACAAAAGATGTCATTTTAATTTTTGCCATCAGGTGGCAGCTTAGGGTAAAAGATGGAAAAAAAAAAAAATTCCCCAAACACCTCTAACAAAGAATGTGCTGCATTTGCCTCAAGAAATTTTTGAATTGTTCTTACTTTAGAACAACATTTCCTTCATACACTCAGATTTTGTCAATACTTACTGTGAAGGTGATCAGATAATTCTGACTCTAGATAAAATGCCAGCAAGCAACAGATTGATGAGAAATTTACCCTTAAGGACATATATAAAAGCAAATTTCTCTCAAGTCACAAAACAAAATATTTTTGCTTGTTTTAGAGGGTGTTTATTGATACAAAGGTCTAATTTGACTTTATACTGAAAACACTATAAAGCACACTAAATCAGAATAAAAATAATTTGCAAAAGTAGTTATACAATTTAATCTTTTTTGCTCTAAAGTGGTTCATATATTTGCTAACGAAATTCTTTTTTGGTAAGTTCCAGAGTCTTCATGATGTTACATGTGTTCTCTAGGTGCAGGATATAGGGACATAATTTGTAATATGATTCTGAATCATCAGGAAAAAAGGGTGTACAACAACTAAATCCAAAAAAGTTTAAATTTTAGTCTGTTTTCCAAAGGTATAGAAGGCAAAGGATATATCATGCACTATCTATAATCCTTCCTATTAAAATAAACACGTTTAGGGCCGGCCCGGTGGCGCACTGGATCGTGCGCCGCTTGGGAAGTGCGGCGGCGCTCCCGTCCGAGGGTTCGGATCCCACATATGGACCGGTTCCCGCTCACTGGCTGAGTGGGGCACGGGAGCAACACCGAGGGTTGCGATCCCGTTGCCGGTCCCCGGTCCGGTACGGGGGCAACACTGAGGGCTGCGATCCGTTGCCGGACACGGAAAAAAGACAAAAGACAAAAAAAAAAAATAAAAAAATAAAAAATAAAATAAAATAAAATAAACACGTTTATTAATCACTTTATGGTTGTAGTAATGTGTTAAGTACAGTATGATTCTAAGGCATCTTTTAGAAATCTATAATCTAGTGAGTAAAACAGACATGGTTATTGACGATAAATTTGAGCTCAAAATGAAGTACTGTATAAACAAAGTGCTATGAGAACATTGAGAAAAATGGGAATGTCTCCAACAGTAGGAAGTAAAAGAGAGTAGTATTTGAGTTATTTCCAGAAGGATAAATAAATAGTATTACAAAACTCAGGCAAATGAGGTAAGGTCATTCAAGGCGGAAGGAAGATAACAAAAAGGCATGGGATAATAAAGTGCAAAGTGTGTTTGAGAAGATACACGCAATCTATATCTAGTGTAGGTAACATGTACAGGATGTAAGAGAAATGGTATGACTTGAAATGAAGCTAGAAAAGACATTTTGCATCTGACTGTGGAATGTCTTCTTGGGCCTTAGGATCAGATGTGTATTTTAGAAAAACTGTTTGGCAGGTTTCTTGCATCAGAATTACTTGGTTTGGGGCCGGCCCGGTGGCGCACTGCTACAGTGTGCTGCTTGGGAGTGCGGTGGCGCTCCCGCCAAGGGTTCGGATCCCACATATAGACCTGTTCCCGCTCACTGGCTTAGCGAGGTGCGGGCGCAACACTGAGGGTTGCGATCCCGTTGCCGGTCCGGCCCGGTACGGGCGCGACACTGAGGGTTGCGATCCGTTGCCGGACACGAAAAAAGACAAAAAGGAAAAAAAAAAAAAAAAAAAGAATTACTTGGTTAAAAAAAATAGATACCTCAGAGCCCCAGTGTTGTATTAGAGGCAGTTCATATCAACTCATGAAAGCCAACAGTTATATTTTCAGAAAGTTTGGAAGCTGGTTGTTAAACACATTCATTATTAAAAATTAAATTACATAAATTTACAATTTGCTATATTAAAAACAAAAGATAATATTCAAAATTAATCATTCCTAATTATTTTACTACATTTTGCTACTATCTATTCTCTTGAGGTTACATATATTTATGATATCTGTATGATGGAACTACTATTTAATGCTGTGCTACTGTACATCTTTCCCCAACTCTACATTCAATGTTATCATCTTAGTAGCTTGAAATTGGCTATGGTGAAAATATTTACACCATGGAAATCAGCAAACACTGCAAATCAGTGACCCCCATCCCCAATCCCACCCAAGAAGTGGTTTGTTAAACACATACTAGCATATCACTATTTAGCTTCTCTCTTGTAGAAAGTCAGAGGTGAGGGAAAAAAAACTGGTATTTTAAAAATGGTCCACAAGTAATTCTAATGAACAGCCCAGCCTGGATATAAACACATTTTCAGGTTTAAAACTACTTCCACAGAAATTTTTATTCATCAAAAGCAAATTGAGTTGAATATTTATACTACAACATTGTGTCACATGAATTATCAATTTAAAATGCCTAACAAATTATTTACTTATTATCTAGGTATAGTTGGATGTGTTCTGACATACGTTTATTTCATTCTATATACAGATAGAAGGTCTGAGTAGTATCATTCAATAACAGCATTATGGCTGCATTAAAAAAGATGCTATAATTCATCTACTAAGGTTTGCAAAGAATAAAGCAAATTCAGCAACTTAATAAAATTCACTCTTCTTGTATTTTCAAAACAAGATCAACACAAAAAGATATAGACCAGCAATTTAACTGTAAATTATATTAGCAACTCACTCAATTTTTCCAGCAATAATCTATCATTTTGTTTGCTAGTAAAAGTGAGGATATGAGAATAAAGTAGGAGGTAACAAAATGAGTATTTCTCAAGTCAGTATAGACAATATCAAGACATTACTGAAAGCTGATTTTCTTCTTTACTAACTACTGAAGAAATAATAAAGTGTAAATTATTATATAGAACAAAACTGTGAGGGGGAAGTAAAAAAAAGAGTTAGATAAGAAAGAAATTAATAATGAAACTAAAAGCAATGTGCTAATTTTCTGACATTTCTCCTAGATTTTGTCATTAGAGTATGATTCTTTAAATGGTGCAATGGGTCAAGTGTCTTCCTCTTTTCTAAGCCCATATTAGTTCTATGAAATTTCTATGAAACACACATGAGGACTCACTGACCCTCTAATAAACAAATATTCTTACAGAATATTTCAGTAAGTAATTTTTTCTTTTTGTGCCTGGCTGGTAAAGGGATCCAAACCCTTGTCCTTGGTGTAATCAACACCAGGCTCTCCCACGTGATCAGTAAGTAATGTTTTATCTTATGGACTTCTTCAAACAATGATTAATATACAAATGGTACATTTTGGTCTCATTTTAATTACTACCCTTATTTGATCTTTCCTAACCCCCAAATGAATAATGCCTCTCCCTGAAATCAACTGCCTTCATTGGTATTCAGGGGATGTACTGAAAAGATATTATCACTTTAGGCAAGCAATTACATCTTATTCTTTTGGCTAGCGCTGGCAGCCCACTTTTGTGAGGTTCAGAATCTAAGAAAATCAAGTCACCGCTATTCTACCCTAAGTTTCTACCTATTACACACCTGTCACATTAGAAGTATAATTCATATTGGACATATTTATGCCAATGGTATCTACTAAATCTAAAACAAATAAAAATAAATTTCTTAGAGTCTTGTACCCATACCCTTTGTAGAAATGATAAAGCAGAATAATGAGTCAGAAAAAGTGCTAAATACAGAAGCCAGAAAAATTACATATGGAAATCATTCTGAAACATGTTTCAGAAAGGATATTTTAATAATAAAAACTAGCATCACGTGAAGAGAGAAAGTGAATGGTTTTCTTTTCATCTAAAACCTTTCTACTCTGGTAACAGTTTACTAGTTTTTAATCTGAAATTAAATAAGAAAATGAATAAAATAGACTGGAATTAAATAAGAAAATGAATAAAATAGTTTTCAAAGCCAAAACCTATAGAGGTAAGATAAATTATGACTGAGTTTAGCGTCCAGCAAATCCTGGATCTATTCACACAACCTTAAAAAAAAAAAAAAAAACCACTGAATTAATATACTGTTCTCTGAAAAATGAACAGGTACAGATATTTCCTGGATCTTTAGTGTGTTTTAGTTAAAATGTGAGATCACATCTACTATCTCCTCATGTGACTATTATCATCAGGGCAGGCAAGATAGACATTATTATTCCCATTTTATAGTTAAGGAAACTGAAGTTTAGAAAGATAGTCAATAAGTGGCAAAAATAACTAGATTTGAAGTTAGAGGATCTAGGTTTGAATCTAGACTCTGCCTCTTCTCAACTTTAAATGATAGAAAATTCATACTCTTAAAATGACTCATTAGGCCTAAGGATAAATGGGGGAACCAGAAATAGGAATCCTCATCCAAGGAACTTTTTGTTCTAGACAGTACTGTTTCTCTCAGTCCACATCAATTCTAAAATGTAAAAACAGTTCCATAAAACTATGAAGTAACTTTAAAAAGATTTCTCAGGTAGTGTGGAAAAAGAGAATTTAAAAACTATACACGTTGTTAGTTCATACTGCACATATAATTACATTTATAGAAAAAGAGGTGGTTATCCCAGATGAGGAAAGTAAGATTAAGGGGATTTATTTTTATATATTTCTGTATTATTTAAATTTTATTTTTACACTGAGATATACATATCCATGTTTACTTTTATAATTAAAAATAAAAGGCTGGCCTGTTGGCTCAGTTGGTTAGAGCAT